CTTAGTCAAAAGTTCCCACCAGCCCTTCTGATTCTGAGAGAGAACTTGTCCACCGTATGTCATTGTGGTGACTCAGTGTCTTTGGACTCTTATTGCTGAAGTATGAATTAGGACTAAATTTAGTGGACTTTTAAAGTTTTGAAAGGAAATGTGGTGACAAAGCAGAGCTCTCCAGCTTTCCAAAAGTCTTGGGCAGGCTGGCATAAGTTTATGTGAATGATGTTTCCAAACTTTCATTTTATATTAAAGAGCTATAGAATTCAAGAGAAGAGGGGAGGAAGGGGAAATATTATTTGATTCTTCCATATTACAGCTGAGGAAGACAATCCACACTCAGCAACAATTAACAAAATGAATTTTCCAAAGATTTTAGCAAAAAGAAATTGTTGGGCATTTAACAAAAGTCCACAATTCAAAGGGAGTTGGAAAGAAAATGTTTGCAATGGATATATCAGATTGATGTGGCAATTATATGAAAGTTTATAGCAAAATATTCAAAATGCTAATAAATAGTACTATATATACCAAATATATACCAAAATATTCAAGATGCTAATAAATAGATACATATATCATATATCATTCATGAACAAGGAAACACAATTTCACAAACTTGGGAAATGTTAGTTTTCACCAGCAGGAGAAAATTATGTATGTTAGAGATCACATTTTTCTTCATTAAATGTTTTTTTTAATCAAACCTGATGTTAAAGAGAAAGCATAAATGTGCTTTCCATTGTTTTAGTGATTATATGGAAGTACTATAAATTTATCAGAAATGATTTTGATAGTTGGTATTAAACATACTTTAAAGAGGTACACCATTTGTGAACTAACAGTTCCAGCTCTAAAAATACAACCTAAAACCAAACATCAAAGAAGGAAAAACCATTACGCACAAATATATTTATAACAGTGCTATTTATATGCCAAACTGGGAAGCAAATTAGATGTCTAGTTGTCAGGGAATAGCTAAGTAAACTATGACGTCTTTCACCGGAAGAAACAAGAATAAAACAGAGCAGAAAATGTTCAGTATAGAGTGCAAAACTGAAATTCAGTACAACTGACAAACAGCATAAGATTTAAGAAACGAAGAAGAGTTAAATGTTCACAATTTTTCTACAAATATTTTCATTATAGTTGCCAAGACTTGGAAGCACCACTGTATCTTTCTATTGCTGAAAGGATAAAGAAACTCTAGAACTTCGAGAAAATGGTATCTAATCAATTGTTTTTAAAAAATGAGCTATCAAGCCACTATAAGATAAGGAAACTTCAAAGCATTCTGCAGTGAAGGAAGCCATTCTGAAAAGGCTATGCACTATATGCTTCCAATTTTATGACATTCTGGAAAAGTCAGAACTATAAAGACATTAAAATAGTCAGTGGTTCACAGGGGTTGAGAAGTGGGAGGAATGAATAGGTAAAGTTCAGAGGATTTTCATGACAGGTAACTATTCTATATGCTATTCGAGGATGGATGTGTTACGTTTTGTCCAAACAAACAAAATGTATCACGCCAAGAGTGAGAAATATGTGAAGTATTGTTAGTTGCTTATAACGGTGTGTCAGCATAGTTTTTTTCTGGCAAAACAGTATATCACCTGAATAGAGGATATACTGTTGATCATTGGGGAAGCTGTGTTTTGAGGTGTGTAGGGGGCTTATGAACAATCTCTGTAACTTAAGTTCACTTAAATACTTTCCCCCGACCCCCAGTTTTGGGGTTACACCAAGAGGTGCTCAGGGCTTACTGCTGACTGCAGACTGGGCTAGAGAAAATATATGCGATGCCAAGGATTAAACATGAGGGTTAAAGCAAGGTAGACACCTTACCACTATACTATCTATCTTGCTTCCCTTTTGCTCAATTTTTTCTGTGAGCTTAAAACTTCTTTAAAAATTAAGTCTGTGAAAAAAAAGTTAAAAAGAAGGTGAAAATGACTAGAAATATTTAGAAGATTTTGTTTTGGTTACAATAGAATTGTTTTTCTTTAATTTCCTACCTATTATTACCAATTTGAAACCATGAATAAGTATTAATATAAGGCTGACTATATGATTACATACTTAAGCAATACAGATAGTCTCTGACTTCTTTTCTCCCTTAATGAGCAGAGGGTTTTTTTCAGCGCATTTCTTTTGGCTATTCGTGAATTTATATAGTGAACCCTGTACTCTGAAGCTGTGACAGTTAGAATTTCTGTTCCTAACAAAAATAAACTATCACTGGGGATTCTAAGTGGGAACTGTATTCTTAGAGTTTTTCTCACAATGAGTGATTCAATCTTTATTTACTTTTAAAACTCAAAGACTATATTAGAATGGTCATTTGAAAAACTAAATATAAGGACATACTTGTATTTAGTTTACTCTTTCAAAAATGATATAATCACATGATTTTATAATTACATTTTAATTAAAATAATTAAAAATATAAATATGTATATAGCATATATCCATACATGTGTTATATATAGTACATATATGTGTACATGTGTATAGTGTGTGTTTATATACAGGTGAGGTGCAGGTAGTACACGATATACATATGTGTGTTGTAGTGTGCATCTGTTCATATATGTAGCACTGTAGCACTGTTCTCCCGTTGTTCATCAATTTGCTCGAGCGGGCCCAGTAACGACTCCATTGTGAGACTTGTTGTTACTGTGTTTGGCATATCCAATACGTCACAGGGAGCTTGCCATGCTTTGCTGTGCGGGCAAGATACTCTCGGTAGCTTGCCGGACTCTCCGAGAGGGGTGGAGGAATTGAACCTGGGTCGGCCGGGTCGGTCACGTGCAAGGCAAACACCCTACCACTGTGCTACCACTCCATATATGTATGCTTTCCATATTATACATATGCACATGTATATGTATATACAGTGTATATATTACATGTTGACACACATAATGCAGTGTTGAGTATATATATTACATGTACACACAGTGTTCATGCACACACATGTAGCACTTTACATGTGCACACAGGTTTGTGTACATAGTGCACATGTGCAGAGTAGTGTCTATAGCATACATGTGTTCAGAAAACACCTGAACACACCATCACATGATGTATACACATGACCATTATATATGTTCCCATACATGTATGTGTGCATATTATCTGTAGTAATATACATCATGCATAGATGCATAATATATGTATATGACTTATAGTTCACATGTGTGCATACATATGTCCATGTGTTTTATATAATACACATATATACATTAACATATATAGTGTGTGTATGCATAGTGTGTGTACAATAATAATTAATTCTCTCTGTCCAGTCCCCCATCTGCTTTTTTCATTGTCACCCTCATTTTGAGGATGCGCTGTTTTTAAATGTTTATGAATGCTTCCAGTTTCTTTATGCACGTGTATACAAGTACTAGTATATATTATTATATTCCCATATTTTCATATGAGAAGTGGCATTTTTAACACATGATTCAATGCCCAATCCTTTTGCTTAATGATGTGTATTTCCTTATAAATATATTAATAGCATCTTCATTCCATTCTACAGCTACAGGAGACCCAGGTGCCAATTTGTGGCTTCACCATAATTTCTTTAACCAGTCCCCTGCCAGTGGACACTGGGCTGTTTCCAACATATTGCTATTGCCAACAGTGCTGTAATAACTAAACTTATACAAACATTTCACAAACATGAAAGAATATTTGCAGAGTAAATTCCCAGAAGTGAAATTGCTGGGTCACAAAGCATAAACCTCTGAGTTCTGACAGCCCAGGTTATTCTGATTGCCAAGTAATTCCCCGTCAGGACTAGTTCACACTCTTACTAGCAGTACTTCTGAGCTCCCAATTCCCTATACCCTTGCCAGGAGAGTGTTCTGTCTCACATTCGATTATTATTCTGATATGTGGAGAAAGGAAGTATAGAACATTTTAATTTGGATTCCTTTCATGGGGGACTTTTAGCATATTTTCATAGGGAAGAGCTTTCTCTCTTGTGTGAAAACTGTACTGCTCTCATTCATTTTTATTACTAGGAAGTTGGTCATAGCATATGAATTCCTAGAAGTTCTTTATGAATTAGGGAGATAATTTCTCTTGTCAGTTACTCCTATCTGGCTGAAACATATGCCCAAGGAAAAGAGAATCTAAAAAGCGCTTCTTTCCATTAGGCTGCTGGTACCACTAAGAATCAGTTGAAGTCAGGCAGAAGCTCTTCAAGAAGGTGTATGGACTACATTCCTCATGAATCAAGAGCAGTTTCACATCAGGCCAGACACGCCTGCCACTTGCACCTGGGTTGTTGACTTATAGTCAGTTAGAGTATGTCATTGACTACCATAAAGATTTGTCTTGGTTTTCATATCTGGAATATAAGGCTTAACAGTCTTGTCACTGTGGACCATCATGGATAGCACACGTGATACACTGCCACAGTGATTGTACAGGTCCAGATCATTGACAACACACAGCACTCAGGGTGAAGCCCTTCCAAAAGGGAAAGGTGAAGCAAATGAAAGGGTGAGCAATTATGGGGACAACCAAGACTAACAAGAGCAGCTTCCAGGGGGTCCTTCCTCCTGGATGCAGGATACACTCTGTGCATTATGAGCCATAAGTTAAGTATGGGAAACCTTGATTGTAGAAGATCTCAAAGAGAAGTTCCTAATGATACCCTACAGTACATACCCTACTGGTGATGCAGCTGAACCAGACCGCAGCCAATGAAACCAGGTAAATAGCCATTCGTTTATGCATCCCTAAGTTAGCCTTGTGTCTCTCCAGGGTTTTAAAAAAGAACCTTAAATAGTAATAACTTTCTTACCTCATCGGCTTATATTAGCCAACAATCAGAACCAGGCCATGAAATCCTCCTGGAGTGAGCAGAGCAATCTCCATGCAGCTGTAAGAGTACCCACCTGATAGAGGGAGTGCCTGGACACCACCATTTCTTTCCTTTCCTTGAAACATACCTGAATTGGGCTTTAACAAGACCTTTTTTTCTGCAGCTCAGGGGAGACCGTCACCAGCGTGACCAGCTTGGCCCCACTACAGCCCAAGAAGGGCAAGAGAAGGAAGGAGAAAGCTGACATTCCTCCCGCTGTCCCTGCCAAAGGTAGGGAGCAAGTCTGAAATGCTTAAGTGGAAACAACCATGATGAGGAAGTGGGTCTGGGGTTTGTTGTGGGATTGGGATAGGGAGAGCAGAAAGAGGGAAAGTAGGACCTTGTAACCATGTGGTTTGCAGAACTGACCCCCTCCCCATAGATTTTGTGTCAGCTCGAGGTATGAGGGAAGTACTGGGCTGATTCCATAGTATCTGTCACTTTGAGCTATTAGGATGCCTTATCAATAAAAAAGGGGAAGCAACAGGCTATTGATATTTTCCTGTTTTTTTTCAAGGGAAAGGAGGCTCTCTGATTTTTCTAAAGGAGAAAGCAGAACATTTTAGGACAGTAAGACTGTAAATCATTCCGGTAAATTTTGGAAATCATATAGTTCAATACAGTTTAATCACAATACAAGTTACATCTTGAACCCTCACTTATAAATTCACAGAAAGGCCTTGTAGTGAAAACCAATGGTGCTAAGGCTGGGCATATCTTGGATGGATAAAAGGGGCTACAAGGCAGGGTATTCTGGGAAGCCCCAGGAGTGCTGATCTTTGGGGGAGGGAGAAAGAACCTCTTCACTATCTGGGCATTATATAGTTGCCTCCTTCAATCAGAGTAGAGTACCCTACCTCATGAGAGATGAAACTGAGACTCAGAGCTCAGTGGCCTGACCTTGAAGGGAGGGCTGTTTGACTTCCAAGACTAAGTTCCACATCATTTAATTACTAGTTATATGACAAGGAAGAAGAATATGACAAAGAAGATGATAGATTTGTTGCTCTTTTATATGAAGACAATAAGACTGTCCCTCATGACATCATAGTGTTACTGGCAGGGACAAAAGTCATGTAGTGTTAGTGTACAGTTAGGACAAAGAACCAAGGAAGCATGCAAGCCCGGCCTCTACCTGGCATGCACTCAGACCTCATTGTCATGGAAAGCATTTACTGCAGAGGTTTTCTGTTGACCAGGAGAGAAGATGATACCCCAAGGAACATGCCCTGGTATCTAGAGGAGAACCATAAGTTCTTCCAGGGGGCAGGAGGGAGTCCACATCTCTCCATGGCATATGCCTGGGTTGATGCGTGGGTGTCTGGAGTGCTGGGAGGAATAGCACACTGAAGCCTTGGCCTGTTTCCACAGCTCCCATAGCCACCACGTTCCACAAACCGAAGCTGCTCAAACCACAAAGGAAAGTCACCCTGGTGAGTAACCGTCTTCTTGTCCTTGCAAACCATTACACACCTCAGGGACCAAGTTTAACTTGACTGACTCAAAACATGCTGTGGGGCACTTTGGGTGCCAAACTAAGGCACTCTCTTTTCCCGAGTCAACTTCTGACCCATTCTTTTCCTTGTGCCTTTTCCTTGTGCCTAGAGTGACAATCTTTTTATGGAGCAGCATGGGGAATGTGCCCCCAAGTGGTGCTCAGGAGGTCAATGGGTTCCATTTGGAGATTCTCAGTCAACCATCTGTTAAGGGCAAGGGCCCAAGGATGCTGCTAGGGCCCTGTGGTACCAGGGATACCCAGGCTACCACCATGGTACTAGGGACTTCTTCTGTATTTGGGAGATCCCCAGGCCTGCACCCAACAAGGTTTGATTCCAGGTATTGAACTCTAGAACCATTATACTATCTTTCACCCCTTCCGAAAGTAACCTTTTGAAAGATCCATTGGGAGCTAGAGAGATAATACAGTGGGGAAGGCACTTGCATTACATGCATCCAACCCCAGTTGGATCCCCAGTACCACATACAGTCCCTTGAGCCTCACCAAGAGTTATCCCTAAATGCAGAGCCAGGACAAGCCCTGAGCAGCATAGGGTATGACCACCAAACAAACAGAAAACCCAAGTGGAATTAATCTTCATTATAAACTCTACTTTTCAAGAGGAGAAAGAAAAAGTCACATGTAGAAATACATGAAATAGGATGTGGAGGCAGAGAGATCACTCAGGGGGCTGGATCACGTGCTTTTCACACAGAAGTCCTGAGTTCAATCTCTGAGACTGCATAGTTCCCTGAGCACCACTGGGAGTGATCTCTCGACAGTAAACTGAAAATAGCCCCCTAACACTGATGTTTTATTTTACCGGTAGCACAAACCCCAATAAAATAAAATAATAAAATAGAGTTTCCAGATACCCTTCCTTCCCACCTTTGACCAGCTCGGAATAATCTTTCTTGCTCCAACCCAGGATCTCTCCTTGCATCTAGTGGTCTGGACTTCTCCAATCTCTGAGACTTCCTCTCAGCCTCTCTTTTCTTCTGCATGGCCTGACACTTTAAAAGACTGATAATTCGTTTTTCAAAATGTGTCATTTGTTAAGATTTGTAATAGTGTTAATGCTTATGGCCTTGATAAACAATTTCCACAACTCTGAAGTGCACATTGCCCTCTACCCCCGCCCGATCCGGTGTCCTTATGTTACTTCTAGTCCTCCTCTTCGTTTCCCCCTGCTTGATAATCTCCGTTTGTTATCCAGGGCCAAGGGGTTGTCACCGTTTATTACTGTCTCTCCCCTTGTTTTGTTTTTCTCTAGACCACAGATGAGTGAGATCATCTGGTATTTGTCATTCTGCCTTATTTTGCTTAACATGATACCCTTCCATTCCATTCATGTTGCAGTGTACTGCAAAATTTATTATGACCCTGCAATCCCACTTCTTGTCATCTATCCCAACAACACAAAAACATTAATTTGAAGAGATGCCTAAATGCCTTTATTCTTTACAGTGCATAGTACAATAGCTCGAATATGGGAGCAATTCAAATTTCCAACAAGAGATGAAGAATGGATCAAGACGTAGTGGCATATACACACAATGGAATACTATACAGATTTTTTCAAATGTGACTTTATTTGCATTTCTGTGAACTTTCATTTTCAATGATGGGTCTCATTCTCCTAACCCTGAAAGAGCCTTGAATGTGGCCCTTTTTAGAATCTCAGGGCTAGGATGAAGGAGACGTTACTGGTGCTTGCTTGAGGCAATCGACGGACAACAGGATGATCGTGATTGTGATTGTGAACTTTTATGATAATTAGAAATGAATGTATGAATTTGAGGGAAGTACAACATAGAGATGACTTTCCTTTCTTGTGGCATCTCCAAAACACTAGAGTTCTATTCATAGACAAACTGCTCAAATGTAAAGGCAAATACAGACGTTTTTGGGGAAAGACAATGGATTTATTTATTTATTTTTGGGTCACATCTGGCAATGCACAGGGGTTACTCCTGGCTTATGTACTCAGGAATTACACCTGGTGGTGCTTGGGGGACCATATGGGATGCTGGGAATTGAACCTGGGTCAGCCGCATGCAAAGCGAACGTCCTACCTGCTGTGCTATGGTTCCAGCCCTGAAAAGACACTGGATTTAAGAGAGAGGAAAAAGTTAAATTTATTTATCTTGTAAATAGCACTTCCCACTTCCAGACATAAGATACACAAATACTGAGTTTAAAAAGTGAGTTTCTACAACCAAGAATAGGTAGTGTTTCCTTTTCTGTGAAGACAGCAGCCCTGATGAATAGTCCTTGAATTCATCAGTCTTCAATGACCAACTTTCTTTAGTCCATACCTGATAACCCCCGTATTCCCTTTGTCATTAATACATTGACACCAGCACTATAATTTGTGTTCATTGCTCGAGCGGGCCCAGTAACGTCTCCATTGGAGACTTTGTTGTTACTGTGTCTGGCATATAGAATACGTCACGGGGAGCTTGCCAGTCTCTGCCGTGTGGGTGAGGTACTCTCAGTAGCTTGTCGGGCTCTCCGAGAGGGGCGGAGGAATCGAACTCGGGTCGGCCATGTTGGCTGCGTGCAAGGCAAACGCCCTACCACTGTGCTATTGCTCCAGCCCGTGTTCATTAACCACATTCAAATGTGAGTCACTGGTGGTACGCTCTGGCATCAAAGTCTTCAACAGAAGTCTGTTGTACACTAACTGGACACAAACTTCTTATGAAGTTTGAGACCACTTGTAAAGAGGGTGTATTCAGCAACATTTTCTGCAAGAACCATGGTCTGAATCCTAAAATGCTGTCAATAATTTTCTTTTGTTTGCCTCTGTTTGTTGGATCTGACATGCTCCTTTTCCATACCTAGTGCTGGCTTTGCTCTAGGGCCGTCAGTCCTGTCTCCATGCCTCTTATCGGGGCTGGGCTACACAGCTTCTAGATGTGCTTGCCAGCTCCTCTGGTCACTGGGACCTGTCTGGTAGCACAGTCAGCGGTAGGTGAGTGGTAATTCTGCCCTTGTAGAGGAGACAGTTGTAGAACCGTATTAAGTTTTACAGAAAGTAAATCAAGGCAGTGATGTGCATTTCAGAAGGATTCTTTTTTTTTTTTCATGAAGTATCCAACCCCCCCTTCCACTCCTCTAATCCCCCCCCCCCCCCAGTCCTTGTGCTCTGCTTACTAATTGTCCTTATTAGCCCTCAAATGTAACCTCCCATACATTATGCCACGGCCTTTGCCCCACTCTCCACTTTTCTTGGGTTGTCTTCTTTAAATTCCAAAGCACTCTAAAGACACTTAAATACCAAATGGCCCCTCAATCGTTGGCAATTCAAAAAGACTTCACCATTTTTCATATCAAATTTTCCAGAAACAAGTAAAATTGGAAACCACTTGACACCTCTCACGATACACAATAAGGAAAAGAGCTGATGGCAAATGGGCCTCTGTCTGAGCTGCAGTTTACAGTAAAAAATATCAGGTCTCATGTCTGCAGGTTTGGGTTAATATTAAGATTTATTTTCCCAAGAGGCTGACATTGACCTCAGTCTCAATTTGGTCAATATTTATCTCTCAGATCAATAAGTCTTGATGGTAGCTGAAGCTAAGTCAATAGCTACTTGTTGACGCTCACAGACCTTGGTGGGTAATTGAAAAAAGAGCTTGGACTTGCACCAGTGTAGGTGTTTAATTCTGCAAGTGCTCTCTCTACTCCGCTCTGCCCCAGTCCCCTCTTAACAGTGCTTCCCAGAAAGCAGCCACAATGCCTTGGCCCCCAACCTCTCTTTCAAGAGTGTTGATGGCCCATACTACCCCAGAATAGGCTGCCTGCTGACTCTTTGACAGGAAGAAAGAACCCACATTGAATATCTACTGTGTGCCCCTCTCCTCTGTTAGATGCTCCCCAGACTTCATTCACACACAGAATCTCAGAGGACCCACTGAAGTCTTCCAGGCCAGAGCTCAAACCTCTGTTTCTTTAAAATAACCACCTCTACCCTTTAAATGGGCTGGAGCAATAGCACAGCAGGTAGTGCACGCAGCCAACCCAGGTTTGATTCCTCGGCCCTCTCGGAGAGCCTGGCAAGCTACCGAGAGTATCTCGCCCGCACAGCAAAGCCTGGCAAGCTACCTGTGACATATTCGATATGCCAAACACAGTAACAAGTGTCACAATAGAGACGTTGCTGGGCCTGCTTGATCAAATCAATGAACAACTGGAGGACAGTGACAGTGACAGTGAACCTTTAAATAATCACCAGTGAGAACCATTTCTTTTGTTCCTAGGAAGATGCAGCCCTTTGAGAAACACACATATGCTAAGAATTAGCAGAGATTGGAGGACTTATCAAATATTGTAGGGCTCCATGACTTAAAGGAGGTTACAAAGACATTCTAGATCTTCTATCGTCAGGGTATCAAAAGTGCCCCTCATGGAACCGGAGAGATAGTGTAGTGGGTACGGTGTTTTCATTGCAAGTGACTAACCTAGGTTTAACCCCTGATGCCGCATATGGTCCCCTGAACACTGCCAGAAGTGATCCCTGAGTACAGAGCCAGGAGTAAGCCCTGAGCACTGCTCGGTATGGCCCAGACCTCCCTGATAAAAAAAAAAGTGCTCCTCAGCCTTTTAAATATATTTTATTTTTTATTCTCTCCCTCTTTCCCTCTCCCTTCATTGTGGCTGATGTTGCTGGGGCCAGAGGTTGCACACTCATGACTGTTGTGCCCACAGGAAGTGGGGTGGGGGTGGGGGTTCAAACATTAGATTGAAGTGCTTGTAGCTCTACTGGAGTGCTCACAGAGGGTTGAAATTTTTATTATTATTATTATTATTATTATGGTGCTTGCACACCTGCTCACAGCAGCTCATGCTCTTAGTTGAGGCACTGAGTTCTGGTTATACTCACGCACATGCTTGTACTCCCAAGCGGTGGCACTCACAGAGCATTTTATT